TATGTGGGTCCTCAAAAAATTCAAAGATCTGTGAATTTTATACATATAAATACCTGACCTTTGTAAGGTTTTTGTTGTTACTATAAACAACCATGGAAATACTAAAATTTTTCTAACACAATGTAGTTCAGAATACAATTGATATTGACATTAGTTTCCAAACCACATCTCAGGTTTGCTAAGCATAATAAAGGTGAGAGGAAAAAAAAGTAAAGAAAAAGTAAACTTTATGTAAAGTTTAGGTTTACAACCATGTGTGAGTCAAAGAGAAACCGTTTATTTTTTCTAGTGCACACAGAATACTTGTAACATTTTTTTTTACTGAGTTAAAGGTATTAACCCGAATACTCTAATGCCTTTTTTTTTTTTTTTTTTTTTTTTTTTTTTGGTCTTTTTCCGTTTTATCGGTACCGGGGATTGAACTCATGACTGCCTGCTTGGAAGGCAGGCGCTTATGCCGCTGAGCTAAAACCCCAGCCCCTCTAATGCCCTTTTAATTTGGTCAACATCTGCCTTTCTTCAAACAATTCTTTTCATTTTTTTCTCTTTAAGTCCTTATATGGCCTTGTGTAGGGTACTGTTTGGGACAAATGGGGAAAGAATACACTCAAATGAGCATTCATCCAACAACCAAAACATGTTGGAAACCACTGCTTTTTAAAGCAAGTGTGTGTTTTATGCATGTTCTCCAGCCATATGGTTAGAACTGATGTTTCTCGCAACTTCAGGCACTTGGGCAATTTCAAGCATAGATGTGACAGAAATGACACAGTTAGTTGATTATGTAACATGCTGGAAAATCTATCCAGAAATTGAATCTTAAAAACATTGCCTTTTGTTTATCACAGATGTTCCTCGACTTCAGGAGAAGGCATACACTGCAGTTAGATCCACGGTGCTTAAGGTTTCTGAAGGCATTGAGCAGGGGGCACAGTTCTCAGATGTCCTTTGCTCCTTTCTGCTCCTGCCACTGAGCAGATCACCCATCTTGCTGCACCTTAATTCCCTCTTTGAAATCAGAGCAATTAAGCCTCTTCTGAGGTCTTACAGCCTTTATGTGGCTAACAGAATACTACCTTTATTTTCCATTTTCCTAGTTTAAAAAAGGTTGTTTTTCCTGTATCTTCTTATCTGAACATGGTATCACATGCACTCATTCTCAGCAAGGGCCCTGGTACCTAGCAGCTCTGGATGATCACCAGTCACACAGGGATTTAGAGGGGTTTTGTTTTTCCTGCACTGTCCCTTGCATCAAGGATCAAATCTGTGGAATGGAAGGATAGTTTTACAAGACCATTTTTATAATGCATTCTTTACAACGTGGCTTTTAAAAGTAAGGTCACAGTGGTCTAAATGAACTTCTGTGCATCCTAGGAAAAATTACTTTCTCCACTGACATTGTGAATAAATTACAAAGCATACCTGCAAAAGCAAATGTAAATACTCAAGATTCACTTTCAAAAGCCCATAGAGCTGAATTAAGGGACAAACTACAGGGTAAGAACTATCCCCTGCTTCAAAGAGGTAGAATCAATTTAATTTCTTGATAAAATCCTCAAGGTTGAGAGAAGGAAAACTGAGTTTCCCAGGGAGTTACAGTCCCAAGAAAAAGCCTTCAGCTCTAACATGTTACAGAAATTGAATATTTTTTAAATTAACTGTAAATATCACATACTAGTACAGCAAATAAGAAAAAGAGTCATCTTTCTTAGGATTATAAAAAGGGCTTTGTAGAAGTTCTGACAGACTTTCTAAAGAAAACTTCAAGTCCCTTGATAGCCTTTTGAAAGGCTTGTAAATGTTCTTTGGTGGATATTAAAGATCACTGTTACTGAAGTGCAGCAACAGAATGGCTCTAAGCATAACTTACTTTAAGTAGTTTGCAGAGGCTCTAAGCATACACTTATTTTAAGAATAGAGAGAGCCTATCTTGATCTGATTCCCATTGTACCTTGTGAGCATATCAGTCCCTAACCTACAGATCTGCCGTGATTGACTCAAGGCTTTGGAACAAATAAGCCCTTCAGTATGTGATCCACCTCCCCTTCAGCTCTCCTTCATCCTGCCTTTTTCGAACTAGCCATCTTATAGATGAGGATAGTGAAGGTTCCAAACATGGTCAGGTTTCTCTCATCTTAAAACATTCTACCCAGATCAGAAGTCCTCTTCCACTACTATCCTACCCGTGTATGTGGCATTTGACGGTTTGGTGTTGTTTTTGGCATCTGACGTATTTGGAACCCTCCATCCAGATGCTTCCCCTCGCTTCCTGTCATTCCTTTTTTCCTGTCCTTGAGTGCAGCAGTTCTCTTGAAGCCACCTTCTAGACCATTCTGTGGCTCTGCAGTTTCGGTTTTGGTTTAATCCTCTCTGCCAAACAACCATCTGTGCTACTAGTAACAAATTTTATGAAAACCATGATTTCAAGGATTTTGTTTGCTGGATTTTCAAAGTGATACGACCTTGCATGCCTATGTGTGGTTTCAGTCTCTCAATAAGGTTCTGCTGGTGGTGGAGCGGTTGCTACAGGAATCTGCTTCTGAGGACAGTGTGAGTGAGACATGGGCTTGCTGCGCCACCCCTTTGAGAAAAGCTCTGGCCCTTGCCGCGGGGTTGATTCTCTCTGCCTTAGCGTAGCAGGTTGCTGGGGAGCAGGTTGTGGTCTCAGTGGCCTGAAGACTGCAGTAGCTTGCCTCTTTGCTGCAGAGGCCCTCTGAGGAAATGGCTAATCAACTGATTACTGTAATTCTTATTGTCTGAAGGCCTTTGTCCATCATAAGTTATAACATGAGATGGGGAGACAACAGGTGGAACTTGCAGGAGGAGGCAGTTTATTTTAGAAAGAAACTTGAGGCTTATGAACATTTGCGTAGCCTTTACATTCTTTTATTGTGCCCAAAGCAGCATTGGTCTTCTGTTTGATCTCTTCCCTTCCTTAACTTCTTGTTGACTTGAAGAAATAGTTGCTTCTCTTAAAGGTTGTATTTGGATATTCTCTTTGGTGTAAGTTCATTCATAAACAAAAAAATTGAGAGCTTTTATTATTTGTTTTTAATACATTTTAGGAAGTATACATGGATTGCAGCAGCTTTTGATCGGGCTCTCACCTTCTATGCTTATGTTTGCTCAATGTCCTTTGGAGAATTCAGGGTCTTATCAATGAGACAAAGTCCATGGCCCAGGGAACAAACAGTATGACTGGAAAAGCATTTGCCTTTATTACTTAATGCACAAAGCAGTTCTCTTATGAGCCCCTTTGTCAAATAATAGCTAAATACTCACCTACAACTAGTTCTCTGATAGTTAGTTGAAAACCAAGCCCTCTACCGTATAAACACAGCAAGTCTTTCTAACAGTGTGTATATTTTACTGTTGTCATTGTAGAAATCATTGGAGATACCTGAGGAAATAAAACAGCACAAAAATATTTCTGCACCTGTCCACATGAACTCTTAACAAGAGCAGAGCCGCAGCACACCCTTTCAGTGGCTCTGCACTCTGACACCATCATTAATTTCCTGAAAACTTAATGTTAGATGAAGTGTAATTGCAGATTTCCTTAAGAACCATTGACAGATACTTATCCTAAGTTATAAGCAATTCACAGTGTGAACTGCGTGCAAACATCATAAGTTTTCTTCCAAGAGAATATACTTAAGTAAAACCCATTATTCACAAGTCTGTTTTTGATAAAAGGAGCCATGCAAGCTCAACATAGAAGTTGGAACGCTTCTATGGGGCTACGTGATTTTCTCATGTTAGAGAAACTTTCCCTGGTTTTCAGGGGTTTAGTCCTGGTAAGTACTATCTCCAAGATGCAACCTTTGGCCAAGTGGGCTGCATTTTGAATGAGATGGTAAACTGGATGGCAAATTATGGTGTTTTTAGGTACTGGCATTGAATGATGAAGAGGGGTGTTTAATTTCTTTTTTAATTGTTAGGTGGTCCAGTTAGGCAGCTGTGTTTATGTTTCTGAAATGATAACTGCCTGATCATAGTGACAAGCTTCTACAAATAAGAATAAGAATTTTTTCTTAAGAAATCATCTTGCCAGTGTACTTCAATTCAGGGGGTTGTATTTATCAAGCAGCAATGGCAAAAATAATTTCAGGAGCTGCTATTCAATACAGCTGGTTTGCTAGATGAGGCATTTTGACAACCTTTAAAAAAAACTAATTGATACTTCAAATGTTATACTTCACAGCAGAATAAACTTGGAAATGGTGGTGGTTTTTTTGTGTGCTTTTTCTTTTGGTTTGTTTTTGGATAGTCACATTTCTTTAACCCTTGTTTGACTGATTTAACTTCTTGGTTATTAAAAATACTTGCTTAGATTATAAATGTAGATCAAATAGTGCTATATTTTTTTTTTTTTGGCTGTTCTTCTCTTTAAAAGAAAATAATTAACTGATCATAATATCAGTACTCCAGAAAAGAGAAAAAAAAATGTATATAATCAGTAAATAGCTATGTGAATTAGTAATTTCAGAACCATATGCAAAGTGTGAAATGTTGGGATGCAAAGGCCTAATGACTAGCGTTTGGAGGCATTTTCTTTAGAGTTGTATCCCTCATAACTCAAATTAATGTTTATCACTGTTTCATATTGCCAAAATATTTTCATGAATTTGGATTAGAAGCAGCTTGTTCTGGCTTGTTTTGCAACTTTGTTTCAAGAAACAAAGTGATATTTAGAAGATTTTGGTATGTCTTAGAAGCTTTAATTATCTTACATTGAAGGAAGAAATACAATCAAGCTCTGTTTCATAGTTACGTAAGAGGAGAGTTCATACTATGCTAATTTTATATCACAAGCATAGTTAGAGAAGAAACTTGAATTGGTCATTTGAACAATGTTAGCCTTTAGCAATTAGCCATTTACACTATCAACTCAAGAGGACCCAAACGGGCCCAGAATTATTTGGGCTGGCACTTATTTTTGGATTTTCAGGTACTTGTCTTTATCTTTCTCATTTTTTTCTTCTCCCTTCTCTCCACAGATTGGTGAAAAACAACAAGTGTTAGTAACAGAAGAATCTTTTGATTCCAAGTTTTATGTTGCACACAATCGATTTTATGAGCAGGTAAGGGGCACTTCAGTATTCTTGAGTTTTCTCCAAAATAGGAATGAATTTGGAAAGTTTAAGCAAAGAGGATTTTAAAGGGTGCTATTTTGTAGCACCAAGCCACCCGGGCTACATTGGAGCTTATCTCTGTGGCACATTCTACAGAACATTCTCTACAAAGGAATAAGTGTATTTAGTGCATTGTAGTATGCACTAATCTTTGATCGGGCCAGCCCTGGGCTTTTTTGGAGTTTGGAACCAAGCAGTTAGCACCGCCAAAGTTCCCACAGCTGGAGAAGTGGGGCAAAGTCTAGTGCAGACAGCAGGACGTCTGCCTGGGCAACCTCAGCGCAGAAGTGCAGGGATTTCCTCTTCCTGTCACATCGCTCTGCACTTTTTTAGTTTTAGTCCATCAGTTGGTTTTTCAGTATAGTTTAGTTTTGTTTTTTTGCTGGTTGGTTTGTTTGTTTTAACTTCTACCTTGATAAAAGTGCTGGGAGCAGAAGAAAAGGAGTATTCCTTGGTCTCAACTCAGACTGTGAACAACTGTGGAGTCTAGCATGAGGGTGAAAGCAGGTTCCCTTAGCACTCCTGAGGGACCCCCACAGGGGCAGAGGGCTATGTGGTTCATTGTGGATCACATTAACTTGTCTTAACATCACAGATGGTTTCCCACTTTCTATGGAGAGAGAGAGAGAGAAAGAGAGAAAGAGAGAGAGAGAGAGAGAATCTTTTTCTCTGACTCCGGTCCAGAACTGGAGAGCAGGGACTGTGGAGGCCGGCCAGCACGGCGTGTTCCAGCACAGGTCTCAGATAGGGCTGGGCAAGGGAAGCCACTGCCTGAGCTAGAGAGCAGAATGGCAGTGGCTGAGGCGGTCTCCTCACTAGTGTCCACTTGGAATCATCTCAAACTGGGTTGCAGGTCCTTAGAAAGACGGGGTGGGGAGGCACACTGAACTCACTTCGTGCAGCAGCAGCGGAGGCTGCAGTAGAGAAAGGACTCGGAACACCCCATCTGGGAGCCAAGTCTTCCCCATTACAGCTCATTACTGGAGAGCAGGGTCCCCATCAGGCAGCCTTCTGCTCAGCCTGGGGAAGGAGGAGTGGGATTGTATTTGGGTTGCCTCATTGTCCCCTGTCTCTCTTGCCATCTGGGTTTGAGCCTCAGCAGGGAACATTTTTCCCTGAATTTTAAAGCCAATGGCAAACCTCTTAGCTGTTTCCTCCCATTTAAAGCAGTTGGGGCTTTTCTGATTATTAAAACCAGAGAAGAAAAAAAAGCTGAGCCCTTCATTCAGATCAGGACAGCAGATCTATGAGGGTTTTTTCCCCAAGAATAGTACTGAATCTTCCAGGGGTAGTTTGCTCTAGAGATTTTCTTATTAAAAAAAAAAAAAATGATTCAAAAGGGCTTTCATAGCCTGACACAAGGCTCTTTTGGTTTGTTTGCTTGCCGTGAGTAATTTGCTGCCCAGGTGACCTTTCTCCTACACTTTGATGAAGTGAACCCAATGGTCATAAAAATCAGACTCAGAAAGACCAAGATTCAGCTTGACTTTTTAGAGAAATTAGCCGTGAAACTTCTGGCTTTCATCAGACGTTTTTATCTCTACAACTAAGATGTCATTAGAATTTTTTTTCCTAAATAAGATGAATTCCAGAGGTGAAGATCATATCTAAATTTCAAAGTATTGCAGTTAGAATTAGTCCATTTATTTTGGATCCTAACTTGAAAAGATTGACATGTAACTATAGTACTAAAATAGAATTGTGAGGGAGACTTAACACATATAAACTACCTACTAGTCCCAAAGGAGGGGAAACATTTGCTTAAGGTAAACAAGTACTTCTACCAGTACTCTCCAGTGGAAAGAGACCATCTGATGGTTTCCTGTGAGCCAGCCAAGTACCTGCAGAGTAGCTGGTTCAGTATGGAGGTAGGCTCCCACACATAGCTTCTTCTAACTGAGCCAAAGAACTGACCAGCAACCATGAGCCAGGGGGGTCATGAAGTGCTGAACACCAATGGGTTGTGTTATTGAAAAGATTGCTTTTAAATATTCTTCCTCTTCCCCTGAAACATGTATTTGTGCATGTGTGAGTAGCCACATGCACACTCCGATGCAGGCTTCATTTGAAGTGTCTCCTCAAACTATTACAACAGCTGAGTTGGAAGGCATTAAAAGTAAAAGGCTTTCATCATTTCTGTCTCAGTTTTCTTCATTGCATGGGGCAGCCACGAGCAGAATATCAAAGGCCCGGTTCAAAAGAGGCTGGCTGACTGCTGAGGACTTCCCAGCATCTGGCCAGGGGAAGGCATTTCTGGGAGAAGCCTGGAGAAAAGACATTTTAAGGGCAAAACTGAGAAATCTGAATTAAGTACAGACTTCAGTTAATAGTAATATATCAACTTTCGTTTATATGTTATGACACGTATACCATAGAAATGTAAGATACTAATAATAAGGGGGAACTGTGTGCGAGGCATACAAGAACTCTGTACTGTTCTTGCCATAATTCTATAAATCTAAAATTATTCTTAAAGGTTGTTTTAAGAAATTAAGATTTCTGATTTTTTTTAAGGTTTTAGTGCCAAAGAACCCTTCCTTCATGGGGAAAATGGTCGAAGTGGACATTTATGAATCAGGAAAACATTTTATGAAAGGGCAGCCAGTATCGGATGCCAAAGTGTACACACCGTCCATCAGCAAACCGTTAGCAAAGGGAGAAGTCTCAGGTTTAACAAAGGTAAGTAAAAGATGCTCTCCTCTCTGCCCTGGCAGTAAAACAGCAGCTGTGGAGGCACCAGGATTCCAGACTATACTTCTGTTATCAATTATAGTTCCTTTTTTATGTATGCATGAGGCTTTAATCCTTTCTGACCGATTGAAATCTGAATTAGAAAGATGTATTTTGCTGATGCGTATAGCTTTGCTCCTCTGCCTGTAAAGAAAATAAGCTATTTGTGCCTGCACGCTAGATGCAAAAGATAAAAGCCATTATATGCAGATAAAAGATTTAACTAAGTATGATCTGATGCAGTATGTTTCTATATCCATAGGCTCCAAGTGTAAGGGGACAAGCAAAGGAATGTTTTCCTGCCTGCGGAGCTGTTTATAACGTAGTAAAACCTTATAGCTGAACAGGCACTAAAGCATGCCACATATACGGTTATGGTGCCTTTCACTGGGGTGTTAGCTGGATGTCTACTTCAGTTGTATGGAGTGAAAATTAAACATTTTTTCTTTCTATAAAAAAGTAACCCGACCCCTATTTTATACCTTGGTAAATATGGCTGTTTGCCAAGCTCTCTCTTACATTTCATTGAGCTACAGTTGTAAAAGCTGATGGAGTGTGAAATGAAAATGTGTATCACATTTCTAAGCATCATTTGATGTCCTTTCTCCAACACAATTGTTAAGCGCTCTGGAAAAAAGTATATAGCAATGACTTAACATACAGCAAAAAAAGATAACTGATATTCATCTGACCATGTAATTCCAAAATTGTTTTAATCTGTGCATAGCTTTTTCCTTAGATGAATCACAAGGCCATGTTAATTAAAATAAAGGAACTCTGGCTTTACTTCGGGAATAGTGACAAAGAGGGTACTGTTTACCTGTGTCCCTGCTGATTGTGGCGATCCACTATGTCCAGCAGGAGTGACACCTCTCCTGAGCTGACAGGTGTATATGAGGCATCTGACCATAGTGGAAGATCTAGCTTTTGTCAAATCCTTGAGTGTATCATCCTGCTAAAATTCAAAAAGCATACCATTAATGTTTGCTCTTAAAAAGTAAAATTTTATCTGGAAGCTGGGATGGATGGCCTGGACAGAATAGTAATCTAGCAATTAAGTTATATTCCTAGAGATTTGGCTTGTGGTATGTGAGCTAATTTTTGAAGGTTTTCAAAAAAGGCAGCTGATTTTAAATTGTCAAGGTGAAAGGATTTCATATCACATGGCAAATTGTTATTTCAAAGGTCCTGCCTTTCCACACACCTATTGAAGAGGATTGTGTTCCAAAACATCACCATTTATAAATCACCAGAAGTAAAGAGAGGTAGCATCTTTCTACTAGTTCCCTAACTGTAGTATTCCTTTCTAAAAGCTCAGCCTCACTTAAGTTCTATTAGGCAGACTGTTCTGCTCTCCTTTCCCTCTTTCCAACCTAAAATAAGGTCATCAATTCTATCACCTGCCTTACAATGGGTGGGTTGGCCCAGGAGTCTTAGGTAAGAAGAAGGGAAGATCAGGTGACTCCTGAGCCCACCTGAGCTTCTAGGAATAGAAGCTGGCTCTCACTCACTCATTCTTTGTTTTTAAAGTACTAGGGACTAAATCCAGGGCTTTGTGTTTCTAGGCAAGTGCTCCACCCTGAGCTATGCCCCCAGCCTTTTTAAATTTTCATTTTGAGACAAGATCTCATTAAGCTGTCCAGGTTGACCTATGAATTTGTGAACCACCTGCTGTAGCCTCTCAAGTAGGTGAGATTACAGGTGTGCACCACCATGCCTGGCTGCTAAAAACTCATAGTGTGCATGACCCTAAAGGTTAGAAACATGGATCTGTATATGTGCATTCAGAAAAACATCAGGCAATTCTTTTACCTCCAATCTTGATTTCCTATACGTTGGGGAATATGGCTTTTATTCTTCAATGTTATTCTTTAGTGTTATTTTTCAGTGTTTTCAAAGATAGGCCAAACCTAGCAGGACCAAGAGGCCTTGTTAGTGAATTTGTCCTAATATTACACATACTTTTGCTGACAACAGAAACAAAATGAATTAAACACAAAGAGAAAAACTTTGTTTTATAGGATTTTAAAATGAATAACAGAGGTTGTGATCACGAGACTTGAGCTCTCTGACAGTGGATACAGGTGCTGTAAGTTGGAGAGAGATCAGCTGAACTCTATAGGGTTGTAGCAGTGTGGCCTGGGGTCAGACAGACAGGGGTGTTCATCTGGATTGTGGAGCTCACCAGGCACGTAACTCCTCAGGGCATTAGTTGTGTCTGTGCACTAGGAATGATCATGAGTGTCTCACAATGCAAACAACAGGAACACCTTCCTGGTGTAAAGGAGCAGAGTCCTCAGTGGTCCTTTCCCATTTCATTGCATCTAAAAATAATCGACTCTGAACACTATCTGGCAGTGACATGCTCTTTTTGTTTTGTATTGTTAATGATTTGACCCCCTTAGATGTCGTATTTGGCAGGGTTGGAGGTGTTTCTCTATTAGGCTGATCATTTCACTGCCACAGAACCAATCTCATCCAAATTTATTTATTTATTTGGCAAGTAATTGCCTGTCTGCAGTACATGCAGCTTACCGTCATCCTGGAGTGGGTGCATATACATAATATAGCTAGGCTTTTTCTTTCCTTTTTTTTTTATTTCCTTCCTTCCCTCCCTCCTCTCCCCATTGTCATTCTTACTGATATTGTTAACCTTAGCTCATGTCTATGATGTGTTTACATTCATTGATCAGAACTTCTTTTCTAGAATGTCAACTCCTCCCGAAATACTTTACAAAGAAATCTAGAAAGCCCAAAGTATCTACAGCAAAACAATGTGTTACAGTTTTTTGCTATAATTAGTGCCTTTCCCGAGAACTGTAGGGTGATCTTTTGAGCATTAGCCCTGTCCTTGGGACTTCCTCTTCTCGTTTGAGGCCCTGCAAACTCCTTTCAGTAACACTGGAGAGGGAACAGCAGCACAGGGAGGAGGTCTACGTTAGGAGATAGGAGGGCCAGATTACAGCCCTCTGGTTCTTTCAGTGACAGATTTGCTGGCTTTGTGTGTTTCATTAGGTCCCCCAAACCTTGGCTGTCTCATATGTAAAATGATAGTGAATGTGGTCATTAAGGAACCTTCTAGCTCCAAGATTCAGTGAACACAATATTTCATTTGATAAAAATGACCAAGTGTCTACCCTATGGCAGAACTTTTAATGACATAAATAGTAATAGAAATCAGACCTTGTTATCTTCAAATAATAATAAGTAGATGTCCATAACATAGTGGAAAACTAATAACGTGAAAAGATTACTGTCCTCTAACAAATTACAGTTTCATGAAAATGGCATTTAGAAACATCCTGGTATGAATATCACTCTTACTTTCTTCAGTTTGATTAGAAGAAAAGGAAAAGGAGGAGAGAACAGGAAAGAGAGACAGAATGACTTTGATCATTTTTAGGGAGGATGGAAGTGAAAATGTCACCTTCAAATTTAAGCATATATAATTAATTTCAACAAAAGGTTATGTGATACTCTATCGAAGCTCAAAGGTTTAAATATAAATAAGGGAAATACAGATCATGAGCTTTTCTGTGGGGCCTGTTAGGGACCTTTGTACTTAGGATGGGAGACAAGGAGAGCAGGGGGTACCCAGGTCCATGTGGATGTTAACCCTGGAATGTGATCCCTTGCTCAGTGCTATCACCATTATCTGGGAACTCACGAAAAATGCACATTTCCAGGCTCCCCCGTCCTCAGGAATCTATCCTGATTCCTTGAATGAATCCCATTTATCATTTCATTTCATCCTCCTGAGTCAGAGAACTACGCAGTAGGGATTCAACAGGTTTTGGGCTGACGCTCTGAGACCATTATTCTAGGGAGGTGCTATTCATAAAAGCAGTTTGAATGTTTTCATGTAGTAACACTCTGCTCTCCCTGAATGACTTCAGAAACTGTAGTTGAGCATCTTTTCGGATCTGTGTGCATTAATGAGTCTTCAGAAGGGGATTGCACAGGCAAGGGGTGTGTGTGCGTGGGTGTGTAGTAAAAGAGGGCCAGAGGGGGCAAAAAGCTTACATAAAACAGTTTTAAGATCTTAAGGGCATTGGTTGATATTCTTACCAGGCCCTCAGATGCAACCTAATTTTGTAATCACTGTTTAATCACAGTGATCTTTTCCTGCAGTTGAAATCTTTGGAATATTGGTAGGCTGTTCAGTCTTTATATTTAAAGAAATAGATGGGAGGATAGACCTGCTACCACTTGTACCCAATCCATGGCCACTCAGTAATATAAAATGATCAAAGATTGGGATCTGGTTTTGATGGTTGTTTGAAATCTGTTACGGACATCTATTCATGGCAATTGTCAACACACAGAAGTGGAGCATAATCATCCCACATCCTCTTACACCCTTCAGCAGTTGTCAGCTCATGACTGGTCTTGTGTCATCCATGTTCTCATCTCCTGCTTATTCTCTATCCTGATTCCTTGAATGAATCCCATTTATCATTTCATTTCATCTAGAAACATACAGTAAATATCTCTAAGATGAAAATTCCTTGTAAAAACATAATCATAATACATTATCAAACCTCAAAATTATTATCTCTGAGTGCTGCTGGATAACTGCTCTATGCCTACTGCTATGACCAAAGCCAACATGTACTAAGTGCTTTTGATGGGCCCACTGCTGTGCTCTGTAGCTTAGATGCATTAATCTTATCACCCTTAAACCTGAGGAGAGGTTACTGTCATTATCCCAGTTTCATCACTGAGACGTGAGCATCAGACGCAGTAAAAATCTTACCCAGAATTGCGAAGTTAAAGGTGAGAAAGACAAGCCAAAAGTTATGTACAGAGCTTACCAACTTTCAAGCCTGTGTTGTTAGTTTGTTTGGTACTGGGAATGAACCCAGGGGCTCATACTTTAGCAAGTGGTCTACCGCAGAGCTACAACCTTTTTAAAACAATTTTGAGACCTGATCTCATCGTATTACCTA